GGCCGACATGGTCAAATAGGTGCAGTATACCGCCACCATGGCCGCCTGAGCCAGCCCGGCCTTGGGGTTATACTCCTGCACAGTCGGGTGCACCGAAATGACCGAGATGACCAGCCAGAGCAGCAAATTGATCGTAATCGCCGCCTGGTTCATCGAACACCCCGACCCGGCAAAAAACACATACTGCACCACCGTCATGGCCAAACTAGCCACATACATCCCCAACGTCGACCCAATCAAAACCACCCTCCAGGTCTTCGACTCGGACTCCTCAATCTGCCCAAGACAGTACTCTGCCCAATTATGCGCCAAATCCACCAGCAAAATCAACCCCAGCATCAAAAACAGCATCGCGCAAATCAGCGCGACGTAGTTCCCCCAAAACTGGAAAAACGTATCCGGAATGAAAAAAGTCAACACGATCAGCCCCAACCAGGCAATGATCTTTGGACCCCAGAAACCATTTTGTATCGCCGCGCGAGGGTTCTTGGAGGAGTGAACCCCCAGCATCAGTCCGGCAAGGACGAGGTGGAACATGCCGAGCGCAAAGTTGATTCTGTGGACGGCTAGCCAGCCGTAGCAGTCGCCCTCGCCGCATTTGATCTTTACGTAGTCGAGCATGAGGTGCTGGAGCTTCTCGATGGCCCACTTTGTGAGCATGATCCAGGAGAGGATCGAGTTGACGAGGAGGATGAGGGCGTAGGCTATGCGGGTTGCGACCGAGTTGCCGCATTTTCCGCAGGCGGAGCAGACCATTGAGCAGGTTGCTGCTCCGCAGCAGCTTGCGCCGAAGGAGAGGAGCTAAGGTTATATCGTCAGTCTATCGCACTTTGTTGATGTTTCTTGGGGGGGGGGGAGGATAATGGGGGGGGTCGCGTACTGTGCCTAGGCTTGGAACCGCCATCAGCGGGAGGGAGAGGAGGGCGCCCATCGCGGTGGTTGAGTATAGCCCCTCAGGCCACACCAGGCGGGTTGATTCAAAGGGAGAAATATTTCGTGGTTAGGTGCGATCGGATATCGTGCGCAAAAAGATATCGGGGTTCGTTGGGTTTATCGTCGGGGTTTGTTGACAGTAGCTAGGAGGTAGTTGAATGTTGCAAACACTGGATCGAGCCAACTGCGACGACGACGACGGTAACGGCTGCGGCGGCTGGAGGTTACGTGACGCAGCGCCCAAGGATCCTGCCTCCTGCACCTGCGCCACAAAACTTGGGACGGGGGACAATGTTCACGTGACTCTGCAGGGGTACCTGCATTTGATTGGTGGAGATGCCACAGCAGGGGGAAGGCCTGCAGGATTCTGGGTTAGGGTTTTTGGCTTTTCAGTTACGATTTTGTATATCAAGGCGACCTTGGTATATTTGACTGGCTTCCTAAGAAGTGTATCCTCCATGGTAGAGATGAAATAAAGGGCAGTGTAAGGCTGTGCAGGACATCATGTATAAGTACCTATGTGTTTCAGATCGACAAAAAATTGACGAACTACTATCTCCCATGCTGGTGGAGATGCCATAGATGACTTTGGATAACACAGCTGGAATACTTCGTGTCTATGTGAAAGAGGCCTTATCGCTTGGTTTGAGCGTTCACAGCTCAACAAGAACCCGCTTCACTTCCCGCACAAAGTACTTGAACTTGATCATATATTCTTCCCTTCTGCCTCACACAACCTTCTCAAGAGATTGTGTCTGCACTACTCCCCCTCCCTAATTAAATACAAGTGGTATATACACCAACCATCCCACCCACCTCTTCCATCCCCCTCTATCTACACCATCCCGGCTATAGTAATAATCCAACTCCCCCCCTCTCGCTTTCTTGGCTCTTTCTCATCTCGCTATTCTAACAAGCATCAAAACCACACACACCAACAGACAACCTTTCTGATCATCTGTCTCTTCTATCAGAGACCACACACATACACACACCATTATTGTCTCCGGTGTCATCGTCCATTACCTCCTCCTTGGTCTGCCCATCTGTGGTGATGAGCTGGCGTTGCTAAGCTGAAACGAGGGGCATCGAGCAAAGGTGTTTTGTCTGTCTGACGACCAAACCACCCCCGAAGAAAAAGTGAGAAGCGAGAGACAGCAGAAAAAAAAAAGAAAGAAACATAAACATTATCAGCGGCCAAAACTGGCTCGGGGGTTTCTCCCCTTCCCAATCCTATACCATGCTGCCATTTCCCCAAACCACGACAACCCTTGACCAATACCAAAAAATTTTGCCGCTCCTTATGAACCCAAAAAAAAAAAAAAAAAAAACACATGTGTTATCCCCATCCATCAAGACGTAAACTGAACAGCGAAAAGAAGAAACAGGGGAGCGCGAAGAAAAATCAATCTTCCCTCCCATCCGTAATACCCCTGGTGTATCCAAGCAAACCCATTTCCCTGGTTATGGTGCTATAAAAGTCGAAGCAGACGGGAAACCACCCTCATAAAATCGTGTGTCGTAGAGAATGAAAAGAACAGAAAGTATGCGAGCCAGCCAAAAGAGGGCCGGCAGTGCGGGCAAAGAGGCATGCACAATCGTGGTCTGGTGATATTCGGAACCATTCGGATTGGGTATCAAAAAGGTGAATAGGTTGGTGAATGTCCAGGTAATTTTTTGGGATAGTCTATTCCAAAGGTGTCTAATCGGAGGTTTTGTTCATGGCTCTTTACCGCCCTTGCGGTCCTCGGCGTCTCCTTCGTACAAGTGTTTTAACCCCGATATTGGCCAAGAGTCCGAGGTGGAGTGAAGGATGACCAGCCAAAACGCGACCAGGTTGACCAGGTGGTGTAATGTGTAGGCGTAAGAGATTCCATACACGGCAGCATAGATGGCAATGCCGAACAGCAGAATGCTCGTGAGGTGCTTCATCCGACCGGTGACCGGAGGAACCATCTTGCCCGTGGTCAAGGTCTCCACAAGGACGATGAATGGCATGATGGACAATACATTGTGGTGCGAGGTGAAGGGCGTGAGCCAATGAACAGCCAGGTTGTGTATCCAGACCACGAGCGTTGGCAGGTTGATGGGAAGGATCCAGAGCATGAGGATGAGAATCGAATGGACGTAGTTGTAAAAGCTCGAGTTGGCTGCTGACTGGAGTTCCTGGGCGATTCGCTGCGCGCGTACTGTGGTTGTCAGTTGGACCAGGCAGGCAACCAGATAGGCAAACTGGTACGGGATGGCTGTAGACACGAGGAATAGCAAGACGGCTGTCGTGATCATTCTGCGCCTGGGTGATGACGGCAGAAACCCGGTGCCTCCTTGTTTCTTGCGTTCATCATTGCGAACCCACGCAGGGCGGAATGCCAACAGGTTGAAGAGGCTGCTCAACAAGTGCGTGAGGGCAAGTGTGATGTAGTTGAAGACGGTGCACACTCCGATGCATATTATTCCAATCATGGGAATCAAGAACAGGAACATCGGGTCCTGAGTACCGATCAGATAGTCGTTAAGGTGGAAATCGACTAGCGAAGATGTGCTCTTGTTCCAATGCCAGAAGCTTGCGCTGCCAGCTGGGTTCGGGTTGGCCGTGGCCACGGTCAACATGGTGAGCGACGCAAGCATCAACGGAATGGACTGCCTGAGGCAAAGATCCAAGCTTTCTGTGAAGGTGATGAACACACCCGTGGTATCGTAGACGCGGAACTGTTTGCGCAACACGAGAGCCACCACGAGCAGCGGGAACGCAGCAAAGACGGTACGGTAGCGCATATACAGCTTGCCGAGACTACCACTGAAATCCACCTCAAGCTCAACCTCAATGCTGGAATCGCAAGTAGGATCGGTCCAAAACTGAAAGCTCAGTCCATCCTCGCTGGCGGACCTCTTGGCAAGAGGCGGAGGGACGTAGGGAGCAACACCGTGAAGGCTGATCGGCGCATCGCGTACATTGACAAAATACTTCGACTCAAACGGCTCCACCAGATACTGCCTCACCATCGGGGCGAAGAGCTCCTCTTTGTTGCCACATGAGTGGCTACTCAGGCGCAAGTTGTAGGCTAGCAAGCTCGACTGCAAGGATGGCACCTTGGTTTCCGTCACCATCGGTCGTGCAGCAGGCATGGTGAACTTCAAGCCCGAGGTGAGCAGACGTTGAAGGCCGATCTGTGCCGTTTGGTGTGACTGCGACTGCTCGCTGAACTCGGCAATCACGAAACCTTGGGTGGGATTCGTTGCCTTCTCCACCACTGCAATAAACTGTTGTTCAGCAATGTCGTCCAGGTCGTACTCGAGGTAGTAGAAGGGCAGGACCTGCTTCTCTAGGTCCCTATAGAATGGAAAGGCGGTTGTCTTGTTTGATCCAGGGAGTGGAATGACATCTGGGGCAGCACTTCGGCAAGCCAGCCGGGTAGTTCCTGCAGTACCCTTGGAAAGGTCGATTTGGCTTGGAAATCCTGCCCCGGTTTGGCCCGGTTGCGATGGGACAACGCTGCAAAACATGACTTCGAGCTTCCCGTTCTCGCCAGGCTGGTCGAGCTTGATATCGGTCATCAAAGTAAAGCGCTTGACTTCGGGAGGCCCGGGAGGTGGGATGGTCATGAGGTGGGCGCGAACCCTGCCAGTGGTTCCCAATTGCCGCAAAACTAACCGCTCCCCCTGAGCAATGATGGTGTCAGAATTGTCCTCCACGGTAAGCAAAGTCGTCGGGTCTGATCGAGGCGCCGTCTTCTCAGCAACAGTTTCCATGCCGGTAAGCAGCCGCTTTTTGAAGACGCGCATTCTCTCCGCCCTCGGTTTCGTTTGGGATGCCCTGTGCACATCGGAGAGGTCAAATAGCGTCCGAACCAACACCTTGCGGAACTGGTCGCACCACAGAATCGCCTGATGATCCATGCTCGTCCATACTGTGGGAATGGTCGATGTGAAGACAGTGAATCCATGCGTGTCCGGAACCAACGACTCGACGCTCGCATAATCCGAAGGGACCACGGTATCGAGTCCTCCGCCCGCGATCGAAACAAGCGTCACATGCCAGAGGGGGTTGTTGTTGGCCCACTGTTGCGAGTAGGCATGCCTCCAATAATCGTTGATGTCTTTGTATGCCTTGACGATCTGGCTGTCAAAGGACACAGGCGGCCGGGCGTGAGGCGCCGACATGGTGATGATGGTGTTGATCGAGTTCGTTTGGTAGTTGGGCATGATGAGCATTGTCCGCGCAACAATTCCTCCCATAGAGTGGCCCAGCACTATCACCGAGGTCGGGTCGGGAAGATCAGGGTTTCGGTCGGAAACGCGCGGATCGAGGTAGAGCGAGAGGATGTAGCGAATCGCCTCATTGAGGTATTCGGCCTGGTCGAGGAGGGTCTGCCCGTGGAACGCCGTGATATCTTCATTGAAATCGACGGTGAAGAAGTCGAGGCTTCTGATGCCGGCGTTGTATGTCTCGGGGTCATGCTGCAGGACATCGTGGAAGTAGTTTGCTGCCTCAGAGGCAATGGGTCGGACTTGCTTGTAGCTCCCGGCATTGCCAGGAATGAAGAGAACGGGGACTCCTCGTACCTGCGCGCAGTTGACGTTAGCAGTGGATTAGCAAAGGTGCTTGGCATACATATACCAAGACATAGGATGGGGGATCCGAACCCTTGTGTCATGGTCAATTCCCTGTTCGCGATACATGTACAGCGAATATTTGCTTGCGAGACGGGTGTGTTCCGTATCGAACTCGTTGAGCTTGGCGTATGACGGGCGCAAGTAAGACATTCGACAGCCCTTTGGATCAATTTGTCGTGTTACCGACGAGTGAACCACCGTCAGCAGCAAGGCGATACCGGTGATGGATGCGACAAGCGCAAGAAGGCCAATTGCCCACGGGCTTCGCCATCGCTGATGCCGGACGGCAAACATGGCCTCGTGCGCCTTTTCCATCTCTCTCTTCTTTGCATGTGACCCATTCGCGGTCGGTATCAGGCCGAGTGGAGAGGGGGTTGTTGGGCGCGTCGGCGATGGGGGCTTCTCTAGTGAGCCATTCCTGGTCTCGGTAGGCTTCCAATTGATGCTGGTTGACCTCCGACTGATCGAGGACGAGGTTCGCGGGTCAGCGCTGCTGCGACGTTGGTGGTGATGGCTGGCGGTGCTGTCTGGGCTAGTTGAGGTGGAAGGCTGTGCGGCGGCCTGTGGCCTCAGGGCGGATTGGTTGGACGAACTGACATGAGGAACCTCGACGTGCAAAGTGTCACCGTCTTCGGAGGATCCTGATGAGTGCCTCGTCATCCCAGCAGGGTCGGTTGGCGGACGACTCCTGCCTTTGGGGATGTGCGTTATGGCAGGTTGCGCTTCTCGATGCGGTGCGGTCCTTGGCAGCTCGAGGTCAAGGGAGACGGAGGCGGGAGGGAACGGACTTTGACGGGGCGCGACAGCGACAGCGACAAAACGCTGGGCATGAATCGGCGCTGGCAGACTTTTTTTCGTTTTGGTGGGGACGGTAGTTAGAGCCGGACAGAGGCTGGGCATCTACTCGTAATAGTATCACCAAGCTGCTTGTTCCCTATCGCCGTCGAGCCTCTGAACTGGCAAGATTAAAGAAAAAAAACAAAATTGATGTGAAAACCACGAGCTCTGGGTGGTCGATGCAGGTTCGATTCGGGGAGCCCACCCTTGAATCCCAGCGCTAGGCTGTGGCAGGCTAGCAGGTGCACAGCGCTGCAGCCCGCTATTGGCCGCCTATGGCTTGGAAACAAGCGTTCCGACCAGCCTCCAAACGGGCCGAGATGATTCGACGCAGGTGCCGCAGTGGCTTCTTTTGGATGGGGAATTTCCACCTCAGGTTGATAGCAACCCTCCACTCCAGCACTGTCTTCTCTTCGAGTCCGAATATTGGAATGCCCTGTGAATACAGATATGGATATCGCATAGGGCGTATGATGATCCTCAGCGGCGGTGGGGTCCAAGGCAGAGGTCGCACGGCGGATGAAACCAACAATAACGCGAGAACCCTTGATAAGGGTGTTCAGGGTGTGAGAGAGCAACGAGGGGATCCCAGATTCTTCCGGATCGGCACAAAACGTTTTCGGTGCCAGGATTCAGGTGACGTCTGTGACATCTACTGCGTGTTTTTGTTTGACGGTATGGCGAACGAGCGACTTTGTCTCAGGCGACAGAATAAACGAGTGCTTCCTGATTCCGTCCAAGAAGAAGAGAAACCTGAAGCTGGGGGTGGTGAGGCTGGGATGGGCGGAATCTGCGGAATATAAGCTCCAGAGCGGCAGTGGGCGGCAAGCTGTTGCAACCCAGCTCTCCAAAGCTGGGAATTATTTCCCTCCTGCAGCATGCACCACCTCACACCTGTTGCTTTATTGACCGGGACTTTTTTCAGGTCGTCGCGAGGTGGCTGGCTTGCGGCAATCCGGTGGGCCTCGCTGGTTTACATGGCCATTCTCCTTGTTACATGTCTCTATACCGAGATCAGGTGAGGTGAGATACAAAGTCCAGTTGCTGGCGATGCGCCCAGGCGAGCCATACGCAATCCTTCCGACATAGGAACCAACAGAAAAAGGCAGCTGTGTTTCTCACATGGACGATCCTCAGGATTTTCAACTTCTGCAACAGCGGCTGGTCCCAGAAAAGGCGGAACTCTGCACCGAAAACCGACAAAAATGTTGGCAGCATGTGGGTCAACAGCTCCTACAGTATGCATCTTTCGTGGACGATGCACATGTGCTGGTGGTGGCCCTTTTCTTCTTATCGCGGCAGTCTTTGGCTGTTAGAAACCTTGGTTCTGGACATGTCTTGACAAGTTGACAGGGTTCAATTCCTGGAAACGGGCTGGAGTGATTTCGCTTTTTGCTGCAATGCTCCCTTCAGAATGTTGATATGCCGAGCTGCTCAATTGGCTACCACAGCGGCCAAGCATAACGTCATCTGGAAATAACCGACCTGCATTAAAGGCTACGGATTGGGATGCCGTTGTTACCTTGTGCCGAGATCGGTCTTTTACAGAATAACATCTACAGATGTGCCAAGTCAGGCTGTGCTGACGAGAGAGGAGAGTCGTTTCTGCATGGATTTTCTGTCGTGTTGCATAACATCTGGACCCTTGAATCTTTTGGACTGTTCAAAACGTCGAGAAAGCTTAAAGTTTTAGCGCTAAATTCCTTCAAGAAAGCTTCCAGCGAATGCCCAGGCAGGAGATCCGACGTGGCACGGCTAACGTCCAAGCAATGTGGCAGTTCGTGGGGGTTTACGGTGTAGTACTCATGGCATTGTAACATTGGCGGTATTGACCGTGTGTTCTGGTAGGGGGCGTTACACGACAGCCTTAATTTACTAGTGCGCGTGTCACCGCAGGCAGGAACGCATCGCGTCCTCCTTTCTCGAGTTTAATTGATTTTCCTGGTGTAACACACCAGGAGTAACACACACTCTCTCTCACTCTCTCTCCCTATCACACACACACATCAGCGCCAATATGAGATGACCTGATACCTATCCCAACTGGGCCGTATTTGTGAGACAATAACCGACGTTGTTGAGGGCGGGAGGGTATCATCACATACTATGGCATCCAACGTCACCATCAAGGCCATCGACTCGAGTGCAGTCCACCAGATCCAAGCTGGTCAGGTTATTGTCGATTTGTGCTCTGTAGCCAAAGAGCTCGTGGAGAACAGTGTGGATGCCGGGGCAACCACCATCGGTACGAATAAATATCTTCAGATATGTTCAGACCTGTTCCAGTAAAGGATGCTAATCATGCTGCAGAGGTACGGTTCAAAAACCAAGGTCTTGACTCCATCGAGGTCCAAGACAATGGAGCCGGAATTGCACCACACAACTACCAATCAGTCGCCCTAAAGCATTACACGTCCAAGCTCTCAACATATGATGATCTCTCCACACTTCAGACGTTTGGCTTCCGTGGGGAGGCATTGTCCTCCCTCTGCGCACTATCCAAATTCTCTGTTATAACTTGCACCAAGGAGCAGGTCCCTCGCGCAGCGAAACTCGAGTTCGAGATGTCTGGGAAGCTTAAGAGCACCAGCGTTGTTTCGGGCCAGCGTGGTACTTCTGTAATTGTAGAGGACCTCTTCCGCAACCTCCCAGTACGCCGTCGTGAGCTGGAGAGAAACATCAAGAGGGAATGGGGCAAGGTTATCAGCCTGCTCAACCAATATGCCTGCATCCAAACGGGCGTCAAGTTCACCGTTTCCCAGCAGCCCACCAAAGGGAAGAGGATGGTTCTGTTCTCAACCAAGGGTAATCCCACAACACGCGAGAATATCATCAATGTGTTTGGCGTCAAGACGATGAATGCTTTGATCACAATGGATCTCAAGCTGCAGCTCACACCTACCGCCGGTCCTCTCGTGAAGGGTAAAGCTAGAGCTGACGGGAGCAATACCGAGGTTAGGGTGCTCGGGCATGTCTCCCGGCCGACACCTGGTGAAGGCCGACAAACGCCAGATCGTCAAATGTTCTACGTCAATGGGCGGCCTTGCGGTCTACCCCAGTTTGTCAAGGTTTTCAACGAGGTGTATCGCTCCTACAATGCTTCACAGTTGCCTTTCATCTTTGCAGACATTCAACTCGACACTCATCTTTACGATGTCAATGTCAGTCCAGACAAGCGCACCATCTTGCTCCACGACCAAGGTCAAATGCTTGACAATCTGCGGGAGTCCTTGATTGAACTCTTCGAGACGCAGGATGTCACCATTCCGACATCCCAAGCCCGAGGGCTGAGGCAGACGCCGTTTAAGAAACCGACGCTTGTTCGCTCACAGACACCGGTCTCTGTTGCTTCTGTAAGCAACAGGAGGACAGCCACACTGTCACATCAATCGTCCGAATCAGACTCATCGATTACACAGAGACGAGCGTCGGTCGATGATCAGGATGAAGAGGAAGAGGAAACTTCTGAGATGGTCGAGAACCCAGAGAAAGACGAGACAGAGGTCGCAATGGAAGATGCAGAAGACGAGCCACCACAGTCTTCAATTCCGGCGATTCCGCCACCGTCGCAACCTGCAGCTCCACGATCTAGTCCCATCGCTCCAGCTCGGTATAAACGGTCAACTCAAGAAGTGGCTACGATCACCATAGGCGACTCCACCGTGACGAGCGTGATCAGGAGTCCCCTGAAACGATCAAGAATTGAGGAGCCTTCCAGGCCTTCCCAAAAGCTTGGCGCTGCTAAGGCCGGGAAGAAGACCGCACCTGTGCCATCCTTTGGCGGACGTCTCACTCAAATGTTTTCTGCTGCGGCGAGTAGTAAGGGAGGCTCGACAGAAGATCTCGAGATTACTACAGAAGAGGTGGACATTGAGGATGAGGAAATTGAGGTGGATGAGGAAGCTTCGGACGCCGCTGGATCGGCAGAGGGCCAGGACGATGACATCGAAGAGTCCTTGTTTGTGTCTCAAGGAGAGGATAATGATGTGGACATGGAAGAACCTGAGATGCCTCGTTCCTCTCACGAAGAAGGGGAGGAGGAGGAGGAGGAGCTCCGGGCTGACAATGAAGGGAATGAGGAGATGCCTTCAGAAGCAGACAGCCCAAGAGCCTCTGTCGAGCAAGACGAATGCTGTGACCATGACTCAGCCGACGACGAGTACATCGACGAGGAAGAAAAGAAGGCACAAGAAGAAAAGAAGGTACAAGCCCTTATCGACGCCGCCCAGGCCACCGCTGCCGAAGCATCAGAAGAAAGCGAAAAGCGCTCCCAGATGCTCCTCAAAGGCCGTCCAAAGCGGAAAGACATGACCCTCAACCTCATCCACAGGGTCAGAACCAACGAAATGGAGATTAGCCAGCAAATCATCTCCCTTTCAAACCACCTCCCACCCCGGAAAAGCAAACCACCTCCCTCCCAAGACGACGACGGCTTAGACGCAGCCAACCCCGAAGAGAAACTCTCCCTAAAAATCACCAAAACTGACTTTGCCAAAATGAAAATCATCGGCCAATTCAACCTAGGCTTCATCCTCGCCGTCCGGGAGGGTTCCTCCTCCCCCTCAGACGACGACGACGAGCTCTTCATAATCGACCAACACGCCTCGGACGAGAAATACAACTTTGAGCGCCTCCAATCCACCACCACGGTCCAATCCCAGCGTCTTGTCCAGCCCAAACCCTTGACTCTGACCGCCCTAGAAGAGGAGATAATCCTCGAGAACCTCGTCTCTCTCGAGCGCAACGGGTTTGTGGTATCAGTCGACACGTCTGGGGACTCCCCGGTGGGATCGAGGTGTCAACTCGTCACTCTACCTTTGTCGAGGGAGACAACGTTTGATTTGACGGATTTGGAGGAGTTGATCTTTTTGCTGGGGGATAACCCGAGCAGTTCGGCTACGACGATCCCGAGACCGTCAAAGGTGAGGAAGATGTTTGCCATGAGGGCTTGCAGGAGTAGTATCATGATTGGGAGGGCGTTGTCGGGGAGGCAGATGGAGAGGGTGGTGAGGAATATGGGGGGGATGGAGAAGCCGTGGAATTGTCCGCATGGGAGGCCGACGATGAGGCATTTGTGTGGGTTGGGGGGAGCATTTGAGGGGAGGACGTGGCAGGAGGGGGGGAAGGTGGATTGGAGGGTGTTTTTGAGGGGGGGGAAGGGGAAACAGAGGGCTGGGTGATGGAAGGGTCTGGACTGGATAGGGGTGTAAGGGCTTACTGAGCAAAATAGATGGTAACGTATGTGTATTACTGAGAACAAATCTAAACAGGCATGTAATTTGTGTATGTTTACAGCCATGGAAAGCATTTTCAGATTCAACAGAAATCCTCCGGAAATCCCTATGAAAGCAACCCAACTTGCCATGTCACCGTGACAAAACCATCAAAAATGCCCCCAAGACTCGAAATAAATCAACAGCAACACCGTCCAATAGGTTATGGTGGGGCGGAAGATGGGATTAACCTAACGTTTGGGGGTATACTGAGTTTGTGGCTATCCATTTGTCCCGGTTGGTCTAATGGTTGATAGTGATAAGGAAGGGAAGTCGTGTGGGTTGTTAGAGGGGATTATTGATCTGGACAGTTATAGTTGGAAGATTTGAAGTTGTGTGGACTAGGCTGGTGAGGGTTGAAGGGATCTAGGGCTGGGGTAAATACGAGTTAGACTTGGGGGTGGAATTTTGAGCTTTTAGATTAGGGGGAAATGGGCGGTTTATTACTGGAATTGGAATGGGGGAAGTCTATAGGGCCGACTAGTAGACATTTTGTTCAAGCTAGGAGAAGTCTTGATCAAGAACCTAGACAACTCTTACCGAAAGTTTGGTAGATAACCACCTATCTAGATTTGCAAAAAGGGGACTGGCCAAGAGGAATTAGGAAGATGATAGGTCTCAAGGCCAAAAGCTCTGATGAGGATGTGGCGTTGCAGCTGACCAAAGGTAGGTGGGCAGTCCTCTCACATCTCTATTGCAAAACTCATATACCTCCTCCTGCACACCCACACACATCTAGTCACGACGAGTTATAGAAAGACTGACAGGGAGTTCAACGCTGTCTCTGGTGGTTTACCACGGTAATACGTCTGGACACGGGATCCTAAACCTGTCCTTCGATGTACTCGTTGCTGTTGAGTTTGTTTCTCGTCTTTCAGGTGGACACTCCGCCTCGAAGCGCCACCAGAGAGCCGCCGGTCATCAACGTGATGGGGGCTGTACCGGCGCTGGCACTGGTAGGTACGTATTTATTGGGATGATATTTTAGGGGCCAGTCGACGCCGGTTCGAGGGCTGTCGTAATATTCTTGCGGACTCCCATATTTCCATGGGAAGATCCTGCACGGATATAAAAGGTAAGCTCGCGACACCTCAAGTCAGCAGCGCTCGCGAACGAGGAAGGCGCCTGGTCCAGAGGTATTGCAGCCGTGGTGCAATCTCGTGACTCCCTGGACCAGACCCGGTCAGGCAATCTTTGCGGGTTGTCTCTTGTGAGATTGTGCGTGGCGGATTTTTGTAGTACATGGCTGTTGGCTTCCCGTGGAGCGCTTGTGAGCTGGTGATCCTCGCGGATCTGCTACATATAGTAATTAGGTGAACCGGGCATATTGATGGGACGCCTGGCAGCGCTCGCGAGCGAACGGGGCGGCGTGAGAGAAATGGTTTCCTGGTCTGGTCGTAACAAGCCGTGAGCTTATCTTGTACCACTTGCGAGCGAGCGATCCTCGTGGATCTGTACTGTGCCAGTTGCTTCTCCAGAGGAGTACCGAGCTCGCTGCCCTTGATTGGATGCTGGTCGTTGTCTGCAACGGCGCGGTGTGATGCTTGAAGGCAGAGCGGGCATGGAGGATAGAGCCGGTGAGCTGGCAAAGCTGGCAGAGGCCTGAAGAGGGTTTGCAATAGAGTAGATGGCTGAAGAGAATGAGAGGCCCTCAAGAGTTTCCATACAGTAGCGCTTGCAAACGAAAATCTTAAAACTCAAGCTCGGACGAAATTCACTATAACACCCTCCCAATATCCAAACATAGCCATCTCATATCTACCTCAGCATAGCACGAGAAAGTTTATAAAGTTAATGCATCTATTTAATCATCTAACTACGTCTTGTAAACAAGACAACAAGGGTATTATCAACCCAGAAACATTCCCCGAAACTCTATCCATGCCCCAAACTCCATATAAAATAGTGAAAAGTACAAAACCCCCCAACGTAACGCTACAACGAAAAACTCCATACCTCATCCTACCTCCCCCATCTTCCATTACTAGGTGGCAGGGATACCAAAACACAAGAATTTCCTCCGCTGTCCAACCCATCCAATCTTCCATTAACCCCCCTCCAAGTCATAGAGACGACACCGCGGAAACCATAACGCAAGGATTTCCTCCCCCGTATCGTCCAAAGCCCACAAAAACACCCCCATCCTCCCCCTAAAACAACCTCAGATTCGTCCTCTGCTGAATCCTCGTCCCGTTCAACATAGCCCTGCTCTTCTTACTCCGTCCCTGCAGCCTCCTAAAAGCCTCCTGAATATGCCTCGGCTCAACCGGCGTCCTCCCCTCACTAGGCGGATCAAACAACCCCCCACCCAACCCCCCCATCTTCCTCTTCTTCGCCGCATTCCCCGCCGCCTGCTCCCCCCCTCCCGTCCTCTCCCTATGCTGGTCCTCATTCTCCTTGATCTTCAACGCCTCCTCCGTCAGCGTCTGCACCATCTCAAACGTCAAAAACCCCAAGATATCCACAATATCATCACTCGGCTTGCTATCCGTCACGATCCCAAAACCCGCCCATTCCCTAAATCTCTTTCCCTTGCGGTACGTAAACGATGCTTGGCGAAACTCAGACCAGGTGACGTATTCCTCTCGCGTCATGGCCTTGGTCCGCTCGTCTGCCTTGCGGAGGCGCTGGAGGGTGATGTGGTTCATTTCCTCTTCCTCCTCGTCTTCTTCGTCTTCTCTCTCTGGGACTTCAACGGCGAAATAAGACGATGGTTCCCAGGGGAGGCCGACTTTGGCTTTCTTGTTCTTTTTGGCCGTGTCGTCGACTGGCCCGCCGGGAACTACACCACCGACGGGGTCTTCACCCGCACCAAGATCACCCTCTCCTCCCTTGTCGTCGGAATCCTTGACGTTTTTGCGGACGTCTTTCCAGGAGAGGAATGTCCGCAGACGGGAAACCTTTGGGGCGTCATCACGGATTTGGAAAATCAGGTCATTAATAGTGATCGCGCGGGCGCCGCGGCGGGCGGCGAGTTCGGTGCAGTTGCGGAGCTGGGACGGTGGTTAGTTCGGACGGGAGAAACATTGAATGGACACAAACTCACAATCTCAATAACCTGCTGCCTCACGATATCCTCGATAATCCCCGTCGTCTCGGCCGATGGCTCGCCCGTCTCACCAGAGACGTACATCATCTTGGTAACAATGTCAGCAATCCAGTCGCTGGGATCAATTTCAACCTCAAAAGCAACCTCCTCCCTCTCCCCCTCCCGTCCAGTCCCCCCCTCTTTCCCCTTCCCCGTTTCCATCGGATCAGGCCGAGTGAGGAAATCCTTGAGCATAAACGCAGCCGGGTCAAGGTTAAGCGGGATCAAATTGGCAGTGCCTTCCTCATTCTGCTCAAGGTCGTAGCCACTAAGGTCAAGTGGTTGGCCATTCATCATGACCTCGTCAAACAGCGCGGGGTTTCCCTTGAAGACGTCGTTACGACTGGCAATGGCTTCTTTGACTGCAGAGCGCGGGACGTCAATGACAGGGGGCGCGGAGTCATTGACAGCAGTACTACCAGTAGCAGCTCCGGGCTGCGGTGGCGGCACAGGAGTGTATCCGATTGCATAACTCGGGGACGGGGTGAAGAAGTGTGGCCTCTGAAACACTTTCTTGAATTTGGCGCACCGCGGATTGACAAGCCTGACGGGATAGAGCTCGTGAAGGGAGGCTTGAAAGTACATGGGGGTGTCATCTTCCTGTTGCTGTCGAGTCGGGGGGGTCGCCCCCTTCATGGACTGGCCATCATTCTGCTGCTGGACCTGCTCATTTCCTCGATGGGGGGCAAAATCATGAGGTTGCTCTGACTGAAGCATCGGAATGGGTCGCAACTGCTGCGGCTCTGGCTCGGGTTGCCTTTCAGACTCAGGCTGCTTCTCAAGCTGTGGCTGCACCTCTGGTACTTGACGAGGCGGCACTGGTTGAAGTTGATGGGCTGTATATAACTCTGGGGTTTCTTTGGGCAGTATCTTTCGTGGCATGATTTCTGGCTGCGCCCCTTGTGCCTGTGGTGACAGCTGCGACTCTGGCACAGGATGCAGCAAGATTTCTTGGAGTGTCGACTCCGGCTGTGAGACTGGCAATTCTTGTTTCGAGATCTCGAGTTCTTTGACTGTTTGCTGCAACTCAGAGTGTGGTGATGTGTCTTGAGGTTTCGACTCTGATGGTTGCTCCTGAAAAGTCGCAGAAATGGCTGCGGGCTGCGACTCTGGTGCAGGTGATCTCTCTTGAGTTCTCAACTCTGGCTGCAAGGAAGACAGCTCTGGCACTAACTCCGATGGGTTCTCTTGAGAAATGGCCTGTGGCTGCGACTCTTGAGATTTTGACTTTGGCGAGGTTGGCAGTTTTCACTGTTCAATCTCAATCTCAAGCTGCTCGATCCAGCAAAGAAGCTGGTCTCTCTTCTCAAGCAGCAGTGCCTCTTCTGTCTTTTGTAGCCGCACCTCTTGCTGTGGCTGCTCTGCCTGTAAATTAGTCCAAGAGGGAGCAAGAATCTTGCTCACGGTGGGACCGTGTGTTGGGTTCGCAGGCGGTGCTGTCCGGCGAGAAGGGCGCTCAGGAGCGGATGCTCTCCATCCAGGTCGAGCGTTCAGGGGTGGTAGTCGCGAGTTTCCTGGCGTCGGCAAAGAAGGGTGAGCGAGCGGCAGCTCCGTCATGGGTGGGCAACCTGACTGCCCCTTTTTACCAGGCTGTGTGGAGGGAGAAGTGCTGATCATTATGACAATCTCGATGTCTTTTCTTCTGGGTCTCGTGTCGAAAAGTGGTTGAGGGAAGCGTCATTTTGTGAGTAGAACAAAACATGGGGAACTTATGTAGTGTTGCCGTTGCCGTTGCCATGGCCCAGAATGTCGTCGCCGCCGCTGCCCGGGAGCAATACCGGTATAGCTGTTTTCACCCCCATGATGACTTTCACTGTGAGAGACATGAAAGCTGTTGGGGCCAGCACCAGTTTTCCTGACATCCCCCCACAGACCCCTCCAGAGTCAAGAGATCTTCCAAGTCATAAGATACCCATTCCCAATAGATTTCTCACCGCGCTGTTGACAGAGAGTACCATCTCTTTATCTCCTTCAAATGTGACTTGTCACATCATCTGGCTTTATGCATTCCCTGCCCGGCTATCCCCTCTGTCAAGCCGTCTTGCTGCATCCAGCTCTTGTCCCTGAATCGATGCTCAATGCCCACATGATGTCCTTTCTCCATCAACCCATTCCATTTCCCACCCAGTCCATTCCATCCACTTCCCAACTTGTCATACAACCTAGCAAACAAAAGAGAGAGTCATAACGAACCTGCTGTATCTCTTGACGATACTTGTACTGTTTATCTTTGTCCGCCATTTTGATGGTTTGAAGGATGGATTAACGGTGCTGAATGGTTGTTGATGTCTTCCAAAAAAGCTGTTTCCAACGAGAGGTAATTATGGCTATGGTGTAGAGAATTTGGAAGCGATGAAGGTCTACCGTGATGTTAAACAAGAAATAGATATGTTGCTGTCAATGCTGGACAGGTGTTGACTGGCGGAATAAGTTGCCAAGCGCGAGGCTCCAACAAGTCCGTTGATATCTGGCACGGACCATATATCCCACGTGACTGTGAGTTTCAGGAGCTCAATTATCTGTTTAGATTGAACTTGAAAGTTGCTATTGAAAGAAAGCTGTTTAAATTGTCTTTATTTTTGCATACCTTGATTCCTCTCACATCCCATGAGGCACTGGTCAAGCTGCTCTCTACCTACGTCTCAAGACATGAGGTTGAAGAACGCACGAGCCAACTGCTGTCAAGATGGACATGTATGGAGATCGACTCCACAACGACGACAGCCAAGACCCTGTCGCAAACTGTTAAAGGCTGATTAGCGTGCTACCCCGCATGCAACGCACTTCCAACCCCACCATCAGCCACCAAGCTCTCAGCCGCATCCCGCCTTGCGCATTCGCAACCTCTCCCTATTCAGAATACTGGAGCCTGGAGCTTTGTTCATTGATTAGACATCACCCAGTCCTCGCCTACTCCAAGATCTCCTGTTTCCTACCCTTCCCGTGGACACTGAGCCAGTCCAGATACCAAAATGCCTCCTCCAACATCCCCGGTCCTTGTGGTATGGCTCCTTCCTTGTCACCTTACATCGCAAGTAAAAGAGTATCTAACAGGTCACCACCAGACCAAAATCAAAGTCCAGCTCAAACTAGCCATAGCCCGCCTTCGTATGGTTCAAAAGCGTGACGAGGCCCTTGCAAAGACCCAGCGCAGAGCCATGGCCCAGCTCCTCGAGCAGAACAAGGTTGACTCGGCCCGAATCCGCGTCGAGAACATCATCAGATCCGACATTATCACCGAGCTCCACGAAATCCTAGAACTCTACTGCGAGCTTCTACTAGCCCGCGCTGGCTTGCTAGAGGCATCACCAACATGCGATCCCGGCCTCGAAGAGGCTGTCAAGTCCATCATCTACGCCGCTCCCAAGACAGAAATAAAAGAGCTTCAAACAGTGAGGACGTTGTTGGCTGAGAAGTTTGGGAAAGAATTTGTGCTACAGGCTACAGAAAACAGCGACGGGAAAGTAAGCGAAGGGGTGGTCAAGAAGCTGAGCGTCACACCACCAAAAGACGAGCTGGTGCAGGGTTACCTTGAGGAGATTGCGCGGGCATACGGCGTTGACTGGCCAAAAGGGAAGAATAAGGAGCTGGGGGATCCTCCTGACTTTATGGATGATGATGATGATGATGAGAACCCAAGTGGAGGCCAGGCACAAAGAGTGTTGGAGGAACCGCTGGTTGGTGTGGATGAGGAAGCTGCTGCTGAGCTCAAGGCACAGGAAGACCTGAGCAAAGCTACACCCCCAAAATCTTTTGGGCCGGCTAGCCCGCTTCATGTCAATCCTCCTAGTGCTTCCACTGATAACATACACCCCAAAGTCACTCTCAACAGACAGGAGTTGACAACACCAACCAAGAAGCCGGCTGCTGTGACGAGAAAGCCTTCGGAGCAGAAAGGGGATGGGGTTCCAGATCTGGATGAGCTTGCAAAGAGGTTTGCACAGCTGAAGAGGTGATTTCTAGCCCCCTTTTCATTTGTATACTGCTACTTCCTTGGGCTCGGGAGCTTGGCGGGTTGGTTTTGGGATATCTGTTGCTCATTCCTATCATGCAATTTTTTTTGACAGAGAACAACACCCTTCAGGTGGAATAATTACCTATGGAGCATCCAGGTGCTGTGATAATTGCGTTAGATGTGACCTTGAGCTGCTCCTTCCGTTTGGAACGGGATGCACACAACAGTAGCCCTTCGCTCCTGCCTTATTTTCTGGGAAATTCAACACAAAACACGTCACAGGAACGGGACTTGTCAAATGCTTCCATCTGCACCACTGATGGTTTCCTTCAAATCAACGTCTTCCACCCATCTTTTCTTCGGCTACCTGCGTGAGTACTGATCAACCAAAACCGCTCTTTTAGGTACCCAGCTTCTTTTGTCTCGACCAAGAACTGTCAAACAAGCCAATCTGCTGAACGGGTCGCAGCTTGGTTTTATTGGTTTTCTGATCTCGGCTCGATCGTAGCACCTGGTCAACTCTCTTCTCCAGGGGCTTGCGATCCATTGCAATTACTCGCAGCCCCTGGCCGACAATATTCTGGTCCTTTCGAGAGGTACTTTTCAGGACAAATTCACGAACACATGTGCAAATACCGAAACTGACCCATCCTCTTGCACGGCTACAGGAAACTCGCAGAGGGCCGTTTGTTCCCGGCCTTAAGGCTGCCACATTGCGGAAGCCTGCCGGTCTACTTGCTCAAGGAGCCCGTGTCTCCTGTTTGGAAAGAATGGGCAAGAGTAAGAAGAAGAACCAGGGCGAACCGCCACTTGGTGATTTTCGCAAATGTCCCTCCGCCCGTAAGCTCTTTGAGACTCTCGGCCGGGCATTTCCTGTCAAGGTCAACAAACAGCGTACCCTCAACAGCTTTGTCATATGGCTTATCGAACGCCTGATTGACAAGGACGTGTCCAACCCATCAAGCGCTGAATCCGAACTCAAAGAGTGGTATCAGCTGCTCAAGAGCTGCCGCATTGACGACCAGACCATCATTGATGGTTTTGTCGAGCTAGAGCAGACCCACGTCTCAGAGCACCCCTCTCGACGCGAGACGTCTTCACATCGTGGAAACTGAGTTGCGGGAACTAATCAGGACTACGGCCTCGCTGCCCCCAGCTCCATCCAAAACTTCAACAGCTCAAAAGATTCAAAAGCTCTCGGGCACTTTGTCCAAGCCCATGGATGAACACAAGCATCTCAATCGGCGGGTGTCAGTCCTGAGGATTGTTGCTGGCCCTGACCCTTCAAAGTCAACGAAAGATTACACCCATCCGGATAGAAGACTGTCAGGCCCACCGGCCCGCAATGACTCTACCGCTGCCTTTGAAGGAGACATGAGCGATTATATCCATCCTGGAAGAAGGGCTCTTGTCAGCACACCACAAGAGTCTCCGAAACATGATTCTCCGCCGCCAACATTGGCTCATATGCACCCGGATAGGGCTGCATCTGTCTCGGTGGGCCACTCCTCTCCTGCTCCCGAGATCATGTATGGCCGCATGCATCCTGATAGGATGAAGTTTTCTCGAGAGGCTGCTCCTGAGCCTGGAGAGCTGATTGAAAAGGTAGTTCCCGCTGCTGACTGCATTCGAACGGGAACAGGAAGACAGGGCAAGAGTAACACATTTGATCCTGCCTGCCCCGATTTGCCGTTTTTATCAGGAGCAAATGCAATGGCCATGGAAGACTTGGTGAGGCTGAGAGAGAAGAAAAAGCAGGAGCAGGAGTGGGAAAAGTGGGAGCAGGAGGAGAAGCAGAAGCAGATGCAAAAGGAGAAGCAGAAGCAGAAGCAGAAGGAGAAGGAGAACGAGAACGAGAACGAGAACGAGAACGAGAACGAGAAGGAGAAGGAGAAGGAGAAGGAGAAGGAGAAGGAGAAGGAGAAGGAGAAGGAGAAGGAGAAGGAGAAGGAGAAGGAGAAAGACAAGGATCTCTCCTTTCTTACCGGTTCCAACCGAATGGTGTTCGGTGATGACTGGGCGTTGGCCAGAACGAAGAAGAAAAAGAAGAAGGCCGCGCAAACTGAGCTAGTTTTGGAGTACGGTGAGAGCCCGGTTGACGTGGGAAACGCCAAATCGGCTACCAATGGTGACAAGGAGTTTACCATACCGGGAAACTATGTGTGCAACCGTTGCAACGTGCGTGGTAAGTATGAACCCCCAGGCATGATATTACTGCTGTTAACCCTATTAGGCCATCTTATTCAAGATTGCCCAACGAACGGGGACTGGCGATATGCCGTCAAAGCACCCGAGGACTACACTTGCAATTTTTGTGGAAAACAGGCAGATCACTATATTGATGACTGCCCGCGGAAGCCTTCGAAAGGCTCGCGCAACGGTCAAACTGAGCGTGACGCGCCTCGGAGAGTCGTCAGTGATACCATCCGAGATTCCGTCATAGACTCCTACCGACCCGAGCCCCGCTCCCACAAGCGACATCGCAGTATGGACAGTGAGTTTGACGATGATGGCTATTTGGCCTCGAGACCTCACCGCCGTGGGACGAGGGGCCGGAAGTCTCGGCGTGCAGATGATGACCCAGAGAGCAACGTGTCTATTCGGGGAAGGGCTGGTACGAACGACAGTCCTTGGGGTGATTTGAAGTCTTCCATCGTGGGTTATCTCGATCCAGACAAGCCGGTTGGTGACGAACCCCCCACCAAGGTCTACACCAACCGCAGGCCTCCGCCCGTCAGCCCGGACCCCCGTGAGGAGGGACGGCTTTCGTATTATGATGTGCCATCTGAAGACGCGCAGCCCGAGCACTCCACTTTGAAGAAGAATAAGAAGAAGAAGACGCCCCCGAAGAAAACGCAGCTGGTTGTGCCCAAGTTCGAGAGATCCCCTATTCGTATCGCCAATGCGCCGCCCCCCAGAATTCGAGTTGGCCCACAGCAGGTCGGCCAAATGATTGAGGAAGAGAAGGACAAGAACGACTTGATCCCCTCGTTCTTCAAGATGTTTTTGGGCAAGAAGGTCTATTGCAGGACCAAGGCCAAGCGTCCAGTGGCAATTGACTTTATTGATATGCCCTCCGAGCGTGAGGGGGGCGATGACGATGCCATGGAGATTGACCAGGCTCAAGATTCTGTCAAGAATGAGCAAGGCGATATGTCCGCCCAGCTGAAGAGCCGGCTCTCGCCTGGGCCCTCGGTGGACGAGCCACAGCAGGCGACTAATTCTTCTGTCATCCAACACCTCCACGGTGTCATCGACGTGGATGATGATGTTGTCATGACTGAGGCTAGGTCGTCTGTCATTGTCAGCGGGTTGGGAGACGTTACCGACCTCACTGGGCTATCTGATGGCGAGTCCCAGAGCCACATTGTGGTGGTTGATGATTAGATCCACCAACACCTGCCATGTCGGCTCTGGGGTGCTTATCTGTTGGGTTCTTGTTTATTTTGGGGATTGTTCATCATTATCTCTGGCTTAAGCTGGGGCCTAGAGCTTTTCCCCGTGAGCCCGTGCCTCACATGGGGAATTTTAGCGGTGGTCTGGAGTTTTGACTTGTTTTCTGTGTTATATTGTACTATTATTGCATCCGTTCCTTTATCTAGATTTCGCCAGCAGACAAATGCGATGATTATTGACATTTCTGTCTGCCCGATGGTGAACCTGCTTCTTTTGAGATGTTGATGTGGCCCTGGTTCTGTAATCCCTCCTACATGGCCGCTCTGCCCTGCTCAACATCCCGTGGCCTGCCCGTCTCTCCTTCTTCCCGACATCGGACGATATAGACTCTCCCGCTCAGCCACGGGGATATTCATCTTCCTTTCCACGCGCACAATCGATATCTTTTTCGCCGTATATCCTCGCCCCTCTCACTCCAACTTATCCAAATGCTCCAACCTAGTCAACACAACCTGCTTCGACGTCTCCTCAATCTCCCCTGCGAGGAAGACCTCGTCCAGGATGGCGTACACCTTGTAAAAGTTAAACACCAGATCCAGCTCGCAGACGTTGCCAAAGAATGCATCCAAGACTTCAACAAAAAAGTGGATAGCCTCTAGATAGGCGAGCTCGTTGTCGTTTGTGTCGACGCAGGCGCAGAAGAAGAGGCCGGCGTAGCGGCGGTAGACGATCTTGTGGTTGCGGAACTCTACAAAGTTGGATTGGTACTTTTGGTCGCGGGGGGCGACGAGGCGGTGGACCTTTCAGACATGGGGTCAGCATATGGGATGGGGGAAGAAGAGGGGAGGAAGGGGTGGAAGAGGTACCTCGCCCTTGACCTTGACTTTTTCGTCGTCGCTGTAGGGGACGTACCATTTTGCTAGGCGGGTTTTGCCCCTATTCCAAAAGGTGGTCGGTTGGTTACCAATGGGAGGGAGACAGAAAAGAGGGGGAGCAGGAGGAAACGTACTGTCGGTTCTGGATGAGGATAAAGTTCAACATTTCGGCGACGGCGGCGGCGCGATGAGATTATCTTTGTCGCCGTGGATTGGTGTTGTCGCGCGTGCTGAAGGTCAGGGGATGGATGTGGTTGATAATCGATAAGAGAGCTGACCCCCGAGGTCGCGGCGCGAACAGGGACCTTGGCATTAAGAGGGTTAGGGTTGAGTGCTGAACTCGAAAAAATGGGTGGCCATCAAGGTGCGCGTTTCAACTGTTATCTGATAACAGCCGCGAACCCAGCATTTCAACATGAGATCACGGGGGTCATGGAAAAATAGGACCAAAAAAATTGTATTGTGACATTATTACTTCGTTACTGGAGCTCTACCGCAAATATAAACTGCTGTATCCATACCCAACGCCTCTCTCATGCAACGCCTATCTCTAACAACATGAAAACAACGTCATCCAAAAAAAAAAAAAAAAAAAAAAAAAAAACAAAAAAAAAAAAACTTGGTATCCTTCTCCATCCATGTGCGATGTGTCTAGCCGTGTAAAAATGCCCACAAGTTCAAACTCCTCCTCCCACCAACTATCCATCCAGTCGAGACATCCCCTTAATCCTCAGCCGCGCCCTTCCCCGCCTCCCTCAACCTCGCAACATACTGATGTCTGATCGTCGACAACGTCACAATCAACCCCAGCCCACAAGCACCCAGCGTGACAAAATACGCATTCCTGTAGCAGTCGATACCGTCATAGCACGACCGGTCACCATCAGGACTAACAATGATGTGACTGTCAAAGACGGCACCGTAAAACAGGTTGAAAATGTTGCCCGAGATGACAGGGCTGAGTGTCATGAACCCCCAGTTCTGGCTAAGTCCGTGGATACCGAACGTCTCAGCTACGATCGAGGGAAAGACACCAAACAAGAAGCCGTATCCGACACCTGAGAGGCCAGAAACAAAACCGAGGTAGTGCGGGTTCGAGACGTTGAGGGCAAAGAGCTGGGCAATGCAAAATACGAGACTAGCCGCGACGAGGCACCAGGCGCGGCTGGCACCTACGACCTTGACAAGAAAATCAGATCCGACACCTGTAGATTTGTCAGCACAAAGAGCGAAATGACCACCCAGGGAAAGGCTCACCGCTCAGCAATCTCCCTCCGAAACTGCCAATGGACAGAATGGAGACATGCATCTGCTGACGCTGTACGAGGAAAGACTCGGGAACAGAGTCATCGAAACGCCTCCAGAGAGCATTGACGTTGTGTCCAATATTGCTGGAAAGGGTTAGCAATGTTTCTCCTCAAAGAAAGCGAGAGAACTCACTTGATAGTCATGAGACCAATGCCAGCCAGAATCCCCATAATGGTAAACAGCTGCCAAAAGTCGACATTGGACAACAAGCGCCAGCCACGGATATCTACACGATGGGAACGATCCATATCAACACTGCTCTGCACTAACACATCACCAGGCAGCGAGGACGACTTTGACATGAGGGACGAGGTCTCGTCAACGTCGCTATCGGGTGCCTCGTCCGAGGGGGGGCGGGCGGATTCAACATCGGTCTGGTCACGGAGCTGGGCGCTGGCTGACGGCGACGACGGTCCGGGAGCCTCTGCGTCTGTCTGTGCCTGCGTCGACGTCGCGGGAGTCGTGTAGGTGGTGGGCGTCGACATACCAGGTTCTACATCAGGGAATCTTCGCGCTCCTCTAGCCTTGCCGTCCTCCGATGACGATGTCCGCCGCAGCCGCTGCGTGTCCGAGCCGGAACCCCCGTTAGGTACCGCATGGTAGGCCGGAGTGTGGGGGTAGACCTTGAGGAAGCAAAATCCAGTGAAGATCAGAGCAAAGGTACCGGCGGCCAGAACAGTCAAGAACGCGCTGGTGTCTCCGGGAAAGAAGAGCGATCCGACCTGGGAGAAGAAGAATGCGCTCAAGCCAAAGGCAGCCAACGGGAAGGCCGTGGCGGTGCCCCGATGGTGTGGCCAGTTGAGCGCCGACGTTTTGACTGCCGCCTGGAACGCCATACATCCGCCCAGGCCGGTAAGATACGAAAAGAAACATAACAGCGGAACCGAACCGGCCGCGTTTTCGTACGAGGCGCGAAAGGGGTAGTACCCGAGGCCGAGGAGAAGCGCGCCGGCTGCCACGGCTGGTCGGGGTCCACGGTTATCGACAAAGAACCCGATAGGTACGCCCATCGAATACATGCCCAGATTACCCGCCGCTCCGATCAGGTTACTCTCCGTTGTCGTGAGGTTGAGCTTATCGGCGAACTGTGGGGCCCAGGCCGAGTACACATACTGAATCACGAAGGTTTACAACCGTCAGCGCTCCCGTCACCGAACCAAATCCCAACAGCCTGCCAAATGTCCTCCCATGGAATCACATACGTTGGTACCGCACGCGAGCGATATGACTGTCGCGGCGACGCTGGAAACCATGCGCGCGCGGTGTAGTTGTTGGTCGAGCATTGTTTCGTCGGGGTGCTGCGATAGCGGAGCACGGCGATGATGTATTTTCTAGATGTCAGCGGAAAAGCATCCCGGCGGGTTCGAGATGCGATAGGAGGAGAGAGAAGTCGATCGCTCAGGGCATCGCGGGAAAAGAGCGGGCGTGAGAGGAGAGTAAAAAGACGATTGCGAAAAACGGTACAGACAGAATTACAATCAACAAAAAGATGGGGGGATGGGATGACGGCGGTTGTCGTTGTTTCGAATCCCCTTGCCAAGATAAGGCGAGCAGCCGGGGGGGGGGGGGGGGTGCCCTTTGACCCCTGTGACAGCCGCCAAACAAGCAGTGGAGATCGGTTCTGCCCGTTGCGTAACCGTTCGCTTATAGCGACTGTGATTGGTGGAATGGCCTCAAACACCCACTGGGATGATCCGATAAGAACATTCTTATCATTTACACAAACTCTCGCCAGTTGAATCAACTTCAGCATTGCCTGGTTTTATGAGCTGTATGCTCTACACATTTGTGCCTCTGACACAACCACGATACCGCCTCAGACGCTCCAAATCTCGGGATCTGTTGCCTGACCACCTGCCATGTGCCTGTGGCATGTGTTCATGTGAGACACTGCAGATAGCTTGGTATTGCGTAACACAGGGGAAACTTTACCTAACAACACCACCACGCCCCCTCGAAATTACATAACGATACCAGCCCAACCCATCGTGTTACCTAAATATCCTATTCCTCATCTTGGGTGTTCATAGTGTCAGTGTTCTAGAACATGGTGAGAGCTCTGAAACGTGTGGACTCGGAGGAACATGCGAAGCCCGTCGGGTTTACTCGGTCGGGTATGTTTGACCATGAAAAAAAGGCCCCACGATAGTATTCACATAGGTTGCCAGAATGCTAGACACTAACCCACAGTATCACTTCGGGTATTCGTATGTGTAGAGTCTATTATGATCCATATGTTGACTTTTTGGGTATCCTCTGTCGTCTCATTAAGCTTAAAAGGAAGATGGTCTTGTCGAGACATTATTGCAGACATCAGGGATGTGTCCGATTTTGAGAAGCACTTGGCATGTTCGAGAAAAGCTTGTCTTGGGGCTCTGACCGGGGGGCTACATGATCAGAAGCATCTACAACCTTGAAGCCAAGCTGAGATGCCGAGACCGAAACCAGGATAAGACTGATACACATCAAGTATCGTTATCGTGAAGATGAAATGATGTATCAGACGGTCCCCTACAAGTTATCCATCCATCTTTCAGGCGTTCATCGGACCTTGATACGCATCTCTCAGCTTATCAGACCTTGTAGACATCCCTCACCCTACTCCGTCTCATCCCCCTCGTCATCATCCCCCCTCCCACTTCCAACCTCACCCCCTCCCCCTCATTCCACCCCCAAACAACCACATAATGCCCGGCCAACAACTTCCACTCCTCCACCTCATCCAACCTCTCCAACCCATCTACCCTCTCCCTCTCCCCCTCCCCCACCCACTCCTCCCAAATCTGATCCACAGTCCTACTCCTCACCTCCCTAAACCCAGCCTCCAGCAACCTCCTCTCCTGGTCCTCCTGCGTCTGGTACACCGCCAAAGTCGGCATCGTCACCCCCCGCGCACCAAGATTAGAAATCATCATCCGTCCAAACGCATCCCCCGGCAAAATCGGCTCGTAAATCACCAGCCCCAAACTAGGAAAACAAGACGTAAAAGAGGTGATTATATCCGATGCTGTCGAAGGTGGGAGGTAGCAAAGGCAGCATTCGGACAGCAGCAGTGTCGGGCACTCCTGTGATAGTCCCGGGAGGGAGGAAGGAGCAGATGGAAAAAACCGGAGATCAAGCGGGTGGAGAGTGAGGGTATTGCCTGTTTCTGGGTTCGCATGCTGCTTCGAGACATAAGACTGGTTCGTGGCCGGGTTTGGGAGTGGCATTGGCGGGGAGAGGATGCCGTTCAGCGCTGGGACTGTCCGGATGAGGGTGTTCTTCTTGGAGATGATAACCGGGAAGTCGATTTCATGATAGTGGATGTTTTGGTGTTTTTGAGACGAGGTGAATAATCGAAAGCAGCGGGTGTCTGTTCCTGCTCCGAGGGAGACTATCTGCCGGGGTTTGCCGGTGGAGAAAGTGCTGGAGAGGAAGCGGTGGATGAGAATGTCTATCGCTGTCGTGCGGGTGTATGTTCCTCTGTTTATTATTGGGAGTCTGCGGGGTGTGGGTAGTCCTGGGCCTGGACCGGAGTGGAACGGTGGTGGTGAGGGAGCTACGAAGTAGCTGGCGAAGGGGTCGATGAGGTAGTCTAGTTCTACGGCGCTGAGGCGGGAGACAGCAGCGTCGGCGTCGGTTCCCTGGATTGTGGTGTCATGGCTGGCTGATGGCCCGGAGGAGCTACCCCGGTGTGAGCCGCCCCGGCCCCGGCCTCGGGATCCTCCACGGCTGCCGCGGAGGGTGAGAAGGTTGGGTATTGATGGGGCGGACATGGTTCGGTAAAGAGTTTGGTGGATCGGTGAGTGTGATGAACAACCCGAGCGCTATGAAAAGCCTCTCATTCCGCTCTCGCCAGAGGATATCGGGATATCAGATTGCCAGAAATCGTTGTGTTGCCGTGTGTTGGGATGACGTTGGTGAGGCTCATGACAAGCTCAAGAGGTGTTGTGGGGTCAAGTGTTGGGCGTTCTTAACAGTTTTGGCGGTAAAATAGGCTCAAACTGCTAACAGAATAGCTGCAAGCTACGCAATCTTTTTAGTGGGGGTTAGTAACTGTTTGCTCGCATGTTCATCCACTTTCTACCTCGCTGCATAAAACGGGGAAAAGTCGAATATACAGCGATGGGTTTTCTCACGTACTTAGGGATATCAGGGATATTCTTGAAAAAAAAAAGATTTCTTTCATCGTTTGCCGCATCCAGATCCTCTCTAGATTCCGATCTGGAAACCGAGGACTTGAAAAATCGTTGAAACACTTCGACGGCCTACCTACAATGGTCAGCTTGTGCCTAGAACACGGTTGGCACCTCCAGGAGAACACTGTTCACAAAGAAACCAAAACATATCATATATTAACCATAGGCCGATAAACCCTCTCCTCCGCCTCCCCACCCTCACATCCGTCTTGATCAAATTCCCAAAGCTATCGACCCCCACCGCTCCCTTCGGAATATCATCAAAATACCTCTCCCACGCACCTCTAATCTTCGGTCCTATCCCACCCGTCCTAGTCCAACCAGGTCGGACAGTAGTCATCCCAACACCAAACGGCATCAGCTCCTCGTCATAGCCTCCACCGCAGCCTTCAAAGCACAATACGGCGGCCACAACGGCGGGTTGGCATACCCCCCAAAGCTTCCAACACTGATGAACCGCCCCTTATTCTGCCTGATCGTCGGCAGGAAAGCCCGGACCACCGAGATGTATGCCCAGAAGTCGAGTTCGAATATCCGGCGGACGTCAGAGTCGGGGGCGAGCTCCATTGGTGACATCATGCAACTGCAGGCATTTGTTCACCACTGCGATGAGGGGGTTATCTGTTGTCGAGGAGAGCTGGAGAGCGATCTGGTCAAGGCAGGCTGTTGCGAGGCCGATTCCTGGATCAGGGGTGAGTAAGGGGTAAGCAAAAGGCGACGAGAAGGCAAGCAAGGGCAGTTCAGAGGTAGGTGAGAGATGGAACGGGGCACGAGAGCTGAAGGGAAGGTAAGGGTGTCAAAGGGAAGGTATACTCACCTTCAATGGCATCAGTCATGACAACGCTTGGCGAGCACACACGGCCATCCTTTAATCTTTGAGGTCTGGTGTGAGTTTGAGGTTTGAGACCGCCAAAGAAGAGGTAGAGGATGTAGTTGCTCGTGTAGTGAACTCCAAAGTCTATCCAAGCCAGTACTCAGCTCAACCCGACCATGATGGCCGAGAAGAAGGTCAGGGGTTGGTCGGTCGACGGCATGGTCAACTGGTCGAACTAGTTCGGTGAGATTGCAGTTTGGATGATCAATGGATTAGGAGCTGCATAACGCAATAATCGAGTCTTATTTGTTGCTGCTATGTTTTAGTGTCGAACCAACGCTCTTGCACTTCATTCCCTTTATAACGACACTTCTCAAAAGATCAATCTCTACCACCACGATATCTTGCGTCATGGATTTTCTTTGCGACGGCAATTTATCACAATGGCGCTCTGAAAGATCGATATCAAGAGGATTAGGGTTGGTAGCACAAGATGTATAGTATTTGGAGGCCCAACATGAACAAATGAGATGCCTTCTTTCTCCTCAGTTTGAACGTTTCTCGAGAGCACACGCGTCCATGCGCCGAGTAGATAAAAACCTCAGAGCCTTGGGCCAAAATAAGAAGTGTGGTATCCTCGAGCCTTGAATCATGACTGCAAGGGCCTTGTGCTTGAGGATCTGGTCACCTTATGTAACGTCTTGAACGCCTGATTCCACGGAAAGGGAGACAATCCGTCTCCGTACAGTCTCTGGGGATGACCACCAGGCATATCACCCCGCGAGTGGCGCAGTGCTTGATCGTATTGAAGGGGCGGCCAATCACAGCCTGCTGTTGGCGCAGTCAGACGAGGCACCAAACGCTTAATGCTTCGCATTTCTTTGGTGGTTGCACGCCCCTTCAGGCTGTTGGATCCACTATATTATTTTTCTGCGCCGCCTGCCACGCCCCGGGAACTCTCATTCATTTCCTGGGTTGTGGTCTGTTTATCAACCATCTCGATCACCACCAGTCTTTTTACCATCGTTTACTGTTTTTCCCCTCTTTTTTTTCTTTTCCATCATCACCAGTTATACCTGAGAGTTCTCATTTGTCAGATTATCCCAAGAATGCTTTCCCCCGTTGTACACGCGGGCGGCATGCTCGCCAAGCGGGCCTACTCCAACTTGGCCGACAGCTCCTCAGACATGCCCGATGAGCCTCAAGGACCCCCTATCAAGTGGGCGCCTTATGGCGGACTCCAACTCTTCATCAACATCCTCCTCTTCCTCCCCATGTTCCTCTACATCGGCTACACCCTCACCCACATCTACCCAACCCTCGCCATCGTCGAGGACCCCCTCCCCGCCTACGACGCCATCCCTATCAACGAGCCCACCAACGAAGATGGCGACATCAACAAGGCAAACACCAACAAGAACGCTCCCCCCCCTGCCTACAACAACAACAACAACAACAACAACATCAACGGTGGCTCTTCCTCCTCCCCCAACGGTGACGCCCCCCTCCCGACCAAACCCATCACCTCCTCCCTCCGCGCCACCCACCGCACCCTCCAATCCATCTCCGGCTTCCGGTCTCAATTCCGCGGTTTAGGGTGCTTCCTATTCCTCGCCTTCACAACGAGCATCCTCTCAGGAATCTTCTCCTTCATCCCCATCCTCGGCAACCTCGTCGTCCTCCTCCTCACCTCCCAACTCATGACCGCCCTAACCCACATCATCATCTCGGCCCCCCGCCCGGCCAACACCCCCCACGGGCGCACCTTTTTCTCCCGCCTCCCCTCCTGGCGTCGCAACTTGGTAGCAACCTACCAGCCCATCCTCTTTTACTGGATCGCCATCCACGCCTCTCTCATCCTCCCGGGACTCCTGGCGGGCCTCATCGGCCTCTCCCCTTATGATGATAACTCCCAGCTCAAGGAGGGGATCTCAGGGTCGGAAGTCGCCAAGCTTGTTTGTGTGCTTGGGGTTTTTGTCGGGTTGAACTTGTTGCTTGTTGTGCCTGCTCATGTTGCTTTGGTGAGGGTGCAGGCCACGCTGTTGCCGCATGAGGAGGAGACGATCGTGCCGTTTGACCGGACTTTTGGGGGGAGTGTGGAGGCTGAGGTGATCAATGGGAGGGGGTTTGGGAGTTTGAGGAATGCGCTCAAGACGGTGAGCTGGGGGAGTTGGGTTAGGTTGTATGGGCAGCAGGTTAAGATTTTGGGGGTGATGGTGGGATTGTATGCCGTTATGGGGGGTTGGTTGGTGGTGCAGTTCTTTTTTCTGGGGTGGAGGGCTTGAGGGTGTTTTGTTGTGCTGGTGAAAGGTGTTGGTGGTTAGGGGTAGGGGGTAGTGGAAGGAGGGAGAGGCCTGTTTGTTAGGATAGGGTGGGATGTGGTGGTGGAAGAGTTGTGCTAAAGCAAGACATGGGAATTGTTTTTGGATATATACCGTGTGTGGTTTTGTTTCTCATTTTCTGTCTCATTTTCTGGTTTGTCTACTGAAGAAAAATAAAAATTCCCTGACGGCAGATGTCCCTTGTGCAATCCATACACCACCACAGTTAGAACTTGGTGAGAGCGCTTCTCGAGCCCACCACCGCACTAAAGAGTGCCCTTGCTCTATCCGACAAAGTATGTGAACATACATGTGAAGAATTACCGTTTAGCCATTCACACATTCATCTCGTGGTATTCATGAAATGAGAATGTGCCACAAAGGGTTGTCGTCATACCCGAGGGAGAAAAAATGTCTGAGTCGTGTCGTGTCTGAAATGTGGGTTAATAAGAAGGGAGAGTGCGGCCGGCGAGCCGGCGAGCCGTTACACTTGCTTCAACAAAACTTTGGTCGTGGCCCCTCCTCCTCTTTTCTTTTTCGCCCGCCCCCCTCTCTCTCCTCCTCCTCCTCCTCCCCAGAAAATCAGGTGTTTGCTCTTTTCTTCCTCCACCAACCAACCCAGCTTTCGTCATCAAGATAACCATCATTCAACTAACACATTCACAACCAGCAGCACGGAAACAGGAGCAAGTGTTATCTTTTTTTTTTGCCTTTTTTTTTATTTTTATTTTTACCATCGTCAAATCATCTTCATTTTTCATTCCCTTATATACCTCATTGTCTGTCCGCCACCCCCTGCTCAAAAAGGGAGATGAGGGGCATAAAAAGCTGGTCCGCGTCCAGTTCGTTGGCAAAACCGCCCATCATTGATAAACCAGCCTTTCCCCCTCCCAACATACAGAGTCCGTTCGTTTCCAACCCTTCCAAGCTGAAGGTCTCCCAGCCAGACATGACACTTCCCCTTCCTCCCCCTCCCATCATGTATTTTCCCTAACCTCTCCCACCTGTGCCTAAAAATACCCCCGTGCTATAACCACCACTGGTCGACACCACTGCGAATGCTGACAACACCCAACTCCGCCATGCATGCACCGTCAGGGGACTGGG